TATTTCTCTCTATTTCCCTCTATTTCTCTCTATTTCTCTCTGTTTCTTCCGTTTTGTTTGTTGACCCATTTTTCTCTAATGGGGTTTCTTCCATTTTCACCAGAAGGGTCAGAGGAGGCAATGGATGCAAAGTTGGGGACGACAATGGCAGCTTGTAAGCCTAACCCTTCATTTTCATTCCTCTGTAAACTGTGGCATTGTTCATGTTCATTTTCTTGCACTGGATTTTGTGAAGGATGTTAATGTGGGAAGATGGGTTTTGCCGTGGGAGAGCTGCAGAGTGCTTGGAGGAGATTGATGGGGATGATCCTGTTAGAAAGGCCTTCAGCAAAATGTCCATTCAATTATATAATTATGGAGAAGGGTGGGTACTGGGTAGGTGTTTGTTTGTTTGTTTGTTTGGCTGTTTGGTTTGTAGGATTGTTTTATGTTTTGGAGAGGATCATAAGGCTTCTTGTGCTCATGTTCTTGTTTCCTGATTGGATTGATTGATTGATTCGGACAGGCTGATGGGGAAAGTTGCATCAGATAAGTGCCATAAATGGGTTTTCAAAGAACCTACAGAATGCGAGCCAAACATTTCAAATTACTGGCAAAGTTCATTTGATGCTGTATGAGAAACAAAGAACAAGCTAGTTTTTCTGAAAGATTTTGATTATCCCACCTTGTTTTCTTTAGAGTTTCGCCATTTGATCTTAGATATCAGAACTTTGATGGGTTGTTTTTGTTTTCTTTGATTGCTATCTACCTTGCAGCTTCCTCCTGAGTGGACTGATCAGTTTGATTCTGGAATTCAGGTGAGTTTTTCGCAATCTTAATGGCGTTTTTCATGATCTAATCTTCCCATTGAACCCTTTTGTGTTTGAATCAGACTATTGCTGTTATTCAAGCTGGACATGGCCTCCTTCAGCTTGGTTCCTGCAAGACTGTGAGTTCTTTATCTGTTCTTTCACCCTTACTGTTTGGTTGCTGTTTTCGAACGGTTGATCGTCGTGTTAATACTCGAACGTGCGTATGAGAGTGTTAAGAATAGCAATCTTTGTGTATATTTGTATTCAGATACCAGAAGATCTGCATTTTGTGCTGAGAATGAGGCATACTTTTGAATCTATTGGGTACCGATCTGGTTTTTATTTGAATCAACTCTTTTCTTCAAATAGAAACTCATCTTCTTCTCCAATGGCTTCAAAGCAATCAGCCATTCCCCTTCACCCTCCTCCCAATCTCCTCAATTGGGCACAAAGGCCAATTCCATCTCCTCCAACTTCTCTGCTTCCTTCACCCAACTTCCACACTTCGAATAGGCTCGGTTACCCGCAGTCGAAAGACGAGACGCACATGTTTCTGTTGCCACATTCCTCCGAGGCTCGAATGGAAGACGTGATGGGAGATCATGACAATGATATCAAATGGCCTAATGGGTTGTCGTTGTTCAATGCTCTCACGGGACGAGCAGATGATGCTAAGCTTTTGTTTAATCCGGAGAGCTTAGGAACCAAACCTGATCAAACTCACCTCCCTTTGATTCATGAACCGAATAACGCGAACCCAAACTCGGATCCTATGCACAACACGAATGGAGGTAACCCGAACGAGTTCTTGAGCTTAGACAGCCAATCTGAGAGTGCTAGGAAGATGGAAAACAAGTTCAAGAGAAGCTTTACCTTGCCTGCAAGAATGAGTTCATCTTCATCTTCGACTTCGCTCGACCACCATCCACATCAATCAGTCGAGTATCGTAACTCGGAGCAGGCGGGTATGTACCCGGACATAATGGAGACATACTTGGAATGAAGTTGGAAGAAAAGAAGGGCTGCTAGTTCAGTAGAAACATAGTGTTCTAAGTTTGTATTTAGGCAAAGCTTTCTGGTTTTCCTTTGTTTGGTGTTTTGCTCATTCTATCCAGTTTGTGATTCTGCTATTGCCTTTAAATTTCAGTTAGTTTCACTTGGATGTTCATTTCTTTGTAGTTTCATCTCAATACATATGTCTTTCTTCCGGTTTCTGTAACAGCTCAAGCCTATAGCTAATCGATATTGTCCGTTTTGACTCGTTACGTATTGCTATCAGCCTTACAGTTTTAAAACGCGTCTACTAGTGTGGGGCAGTTTCTATAACAGCTCAAGCCTACAGCTAACAAATATTGTCCATTTTGGCCCACGAGGTTTCTACACACTTATACAAGAATGCTCTGTTTCTCTCTCCAACCGGTTTCTACACACTTATACAAGAATGCTTATACAAAAACAATTATACATAACAATCAACTGAAAGCCGGACAAAACTTAATATTTTCAAATGGGGTTTTGTTTTTGCATATTTCTAGTTTGACCAACAAATAAGTCGAACTTACACGATACTTTTAATCGGGTGGGGTGTAATCTACGGCATTTCATTGTTTTTTCTTCTAAAAGACACGGTTGGCTGACACGAGTATAATTTAATTGGTAAATTTAGAAAATTATAAGAAAATTAGAGGGACAGAGTGTCCAAAAAGTTTGACTTGGTCAAAGGTTAGCATATAATAAGGAACATGTCTCCCATTGTGATTGAACTTTTATGTCAAATATGTCTTTTCAATTAAATAAATTTTGTCAATATACATTAAAATTTCAAAGTTTTTGAATTATTCAGATCTCTTTTGACAATTATTTATTTAATTTTTTTTGGGGTCAAAATTCAAAGGGATTGTTGGATTTCACAAATTTGTTTTTAATTTTACAAAATACATTTTTTTTCTTTATTTCTTTATTTTTTTATTACAAAAATTCCACCTTATTATAAGATCCATTTAGATGAAATAAAAATGGGCAAATTTTTTTTTTTTCAATAATGATAAAAAAAAAATATATTAAATTACAAATTCAGTCTAAAAAATGTCTAATATGTCCCTATATTTTAAACTTCATCTTCAAATTTGATAGGTACTAATCATATTAAATATTTTTAAAATTAATGAATCCATCCTATAAAATTGAATTTTGGAACTTAAAAATTCAATTTAATGTTTAATAAATTCATAATTTTTTTTAAAATGTGAAAGATTATTTCACCCTCCACGATAGAATCATTGGGTTTTGTTTTTGGACAGTAAATAGTAAATAAAAAGTTGTAATTTTTTTTTTTTTTTTTTACAGTAGATGATGTTTTTTTTTATAGGCCCAAGCTATTCTCTAGCTGTGTGTGCCGTCCATGTAATTAAAAAAAAAAAAAAAAAAAAAAAAAAAAAAAAAAAAAA